AAATATACTCCACTTGGCTGTTCTGAGATCGATTTATAACAGTCTGCGTTCACGTGCCAATTCGGAAAGAACAAATATTTACCATGCTCAAATTATTTTATAAACCAGAGAAAGAAATGGTTTTGTTAAAAAATTTGAAAATATCGTCAGATATAGATTTGAAAATAATTTTGTTGATCCATTAAAATAATTATGTTAGGATACGTAGGATTTAATCGCTGTCTAGAATATAAAACATTTTTACGTCATGCTTAAGCAATTATTTTTTGACGACTCATCCGAAAATTATTTTCGGATATCGATCTAATCAAATTTTTAGATTCTTCCGTAAAAACCACTCTTTCCGTGCGAAAGTTTTAAAATGACAGCGATGGTTCGTGAGATACATGTAAAATGTCGTTCAGTGTAAAACTCGTTCAGGATCTGCACATTCCTCGTTTAACTTATGCAAGAACATCTTGTACCTTGCTAGAATATCGATTTTAGTCATGCATATATTTTCAACTTTCGCGTAATTTCCGCGATCGGTCGTTGACTGCAATATTCGTGGCAAAGAATGCAAAGTTTTGCGCGAAAATCGACGTAGATTTCAAGCGAATTTTGCGAAAACATAAGATGACAGTTTCTTGGAGTCATAATTTTCTAATTTATACAAAATCAATATTTCGTCCAATTTAATATGATGGAAAAAGTAAATGTTCATGACGCTCCTTAAGATAGTTTTACGAGAACTCTTATAAACCGGTTGTTTAAAAAAATCTTCGCAACGTCCGAAACAATTGTGAATTATTATCAAAAGTTTTAAAAAATGATTAATATAAAATGATAGATATTCAAGTCGAATCTTACGACTGATTTTGTATAGCCCTTAGATTCTTCTTAGAACGAAGGACATAAATGTCGCGATGATAATAAACTTCTTCCGGAAATGTTACTTCTGAATTAATTAGATAAAGATGTTGCTTTTTCGCTTGTAAACCATCGTGTGTACTTTAAGTATTTAAATTGCTGCCTTTGACTCGATGCGTGAAAGTAGTATTTTGATTCTCGAAATGAAATTACTGAGATAAGGAGTATTAATTGATCAAAGAGACAAGATTATAATTCGCCGTTGAGAAAATGGGCGTAGATTTATGACGAGACTGATAAGCAAACGCGTCGCGCTATAAACAGGAAATATCAGCTTTTACACTCTCCTTATCGAGCACTAAACTTTACGTAACGAATCAAATTTGCGCTGTACGAACGCATTCGCGAATATCGCGCTGCATTCCCGCTCGCGTTCGCAACGACATTCCTCGTCGGCGATCGAAATATGTATAATACCATTCAGGATTCTCAGCTCTAATCGCAAATGCGATCGTAAAATAGCCAATAGCGAGACTAAAGCGACTACGGAATACTTGGCGCGCTCAATTCCGGACGCGTTAAATTCTGAGAAACCGGGATTAAATGCTACCGCGTAGAAATTAGGATTTATAAATTGGTATCGCAGCGCGATTTGATTATTAAGCGGACATTCCAGTCCGACACGATGCGTTATGTTACGGTTACGTTAGTAAAGCAGAGAGCATATGCATCTAACTCGTCGCGCCGGATTCGGAGGAATGCTCGCTTTAATTACGTACATGCATTACCGGGAACTGCACGCGTTTCGTCCTACGCGATCGGTTATTTATAAACTAATGGACGGCCCTTTGGGCTGTTTGGTGCAAACGACCGACCGCGCCTCGTACGAAATTCCGCGACCCACGCGTACCTAAAATCGACAAATTATTAACGCGACGATGCACAGAAATATATGAAATTCTTCTAATATCGATGACATCGCATCTTCTGATCGTCGCAATTTATTCCCGAGTGCCAGCGAGCGAAAAGAGGTAAATGCGCTTTTTGCGAAAGACGACGCGTCAATAATTAACACAAAAATAAATTTATTAGGCCATTAAATATTTAAAAAAGTAAAATTGACCGCTAGAAGACAAAAATTTTTGCAATATCATCGTGCTTAAATGTTCTACATAATTTTCATGGTCCAATAAATTATTTTCAGATCTGTATCTGATTAAATTTTTAAATTCTTTAAAAAGAAACTATTTTTTCCATATTTAAATCGATATAAATATAAATGGAAAAAACAATTTTGCTGAAGGATCTGCAAAAGAATGTTTCAGAATTATTATGTAAGATGCTTAAGCATGATGATAATGTTGCAAAATTTTTTTATACTCAATTTAAACATCTTACATAATTATTTTAATGGCTCAACAAAATGACTTTTTACATTTGTACGTGGCCAAATTTATAAATCCTTCAAAACTTTTTTTCACGTTTCTTTCATTCATAAGTTTGCATCCTTTTACCTGAAAATTACTATCCCATACACTTACAATCTGTTTACCATATTCTCGCCTTACGCTCATAAAGAATTGTTTCAGATTGTTTTTGTCTCGAACGTATAAGGTTTTCTTCTAGTTTTTCGCGTACCCTGATGTTTTCTCTGGTTACGAAATTCTGGCCTGTCTCAAATGTGTCCATGGGGAAAATCTTCTCACGACCGCGATCCTTTGAAAGAGATGAGACATCGACGAACTTCGAGAGCGAGGGTGCGCGTATTTTTCTTTTTCATCGATGCAACAGGTGACGCGTCGACCCGCCGAGAAACGTCCCAACACGGAGAACGTGAGATTCTTCGACCCCCTGAGGAAGGGTCGGATATTAATCGTCGCTCGCTGGATTCGTCATTTTTTATTTCCCTCGACTTACATTCGGGCATATATTCTACCTCCGGAGAAACCGAGTTTCTAAGTAACGGAAAATGTATCCACGCAGTCGTTAGGACGTTTCAAAGAAAACAATCCATCCCAAGAGCCATCCATCCTCGACGGTCGTTAACGACGTTATGGAAAAACAAGTATATGTAACATATGTTAAAAATGCAATGATATTCTTACGAAACATTCGAGATGATTTTTTTTCTGTTTTCTTAAAATTTCAGGATATCGAAAATCACGCGATACGCTGAAAAAAAAATGTGCCAATAGCTGATAAATCGAATAATACAGCCCTGTGCTCGGCGCGGATTTACGATGATAATTTCGAGTCGCGGTAAAAGCGGCGATTCCCGTCGTTCCTGGACGGGGAAGCACGTGTGTAAAACTTGTGCGTTGACTCGCACGCTGATGCTCTCAGGGCCGTATTTTAGTGTGGTTGTATCTAAAATCGTTGGTGCGACCTCGACGAGTGCATCGCGTTTTCGGGGTTTGGCTGTCGGCCAAACGACGAGAGACTGTTCTCGTGAAATAGAGAAAAAATACGACGAGGCGGCCAAAGGAAAAAAAAAGAGAAGGAAACGTGTATTTCGCTCGTCTATTATAATATCATAATTGCGATAATTGCGACTTTGTTTTGATCCTCAAATATTTCTCCATTCTTCAAATATTTTCTTTTGGCGTCTACGTAGTTTTCCTTCTTTTCCATTTCATTACCCCTCCGTTTTCCATTTTTATCAATTCTGGTATATTGTTTGATTGAAAGGTAAATTGTACTCGTTAAAAATTTTCGAAGATTTTATTTCAAAGGAAAGAATAAATAAATTCTCCATGATTTCTGTTTCAGGAAGTCACTCATGTCGAAATTACACTAATTACGTCTATCCAGTGTCGAGCGAGTCGAAATGGCGACGAAGATTTTTATAATCTTCGGGATCCTTGCTATCCTGGACATCGGACTTGCGGATCCACGATTGGTTTGCTTAGGTAAGAAAAAAAAAACTTAATTCTTACAGTTCCTAAAAAAAATTCATACGTTTCTTTGTACGATAATAACAAAACCATCCTTTGGTATATTTGTGTTCAAACATCACACAAATGAGAGAAAAAGAGGGATCTAATAAATCTTAAATTGCATACAATAATATGTAAACGACTCATTGTCAGAGATTAATAGAATGTGCCGCTTATTAATGCTCTAGACGAGTTATATTTTGAGACCGTTTATTTCACAGAAGCGATCTTGTGACGCTTTCTAGGAACATTTGCAAAGGGTGATGAAAGCACGGTTGCACCCGTGGAAATCCCATAAATATTATGTTTAAAAACAATGTGGAAGTCATAGAGTGATAGAAACCAAAATTATCATGTAACGAAAATTTTTTTTATCACCTTGTCATAATTTATGTGTATCGTCATAATAAATTTTTATTCTCTTATAATTCCGAATAAAATAGATCTGTGAATGCTAAAAAAAAAGCGTCTGATACGCAGTCGTGGAGAGTCGAAGCTTTATAAAGGAAATCCGTAACGTCATTCCGTTTCACGGTATTTTCGTATCGAAAAAGGAACAAGCCGGAAATATGGTTAATGCGAATCGTGTGACGTGAAAAATAGCATGAAAGAAGAAGCGGCACTAGCTCGAGGAAGCTAGCGAAAACGAAAGGGCAAAAGCGGAAGTACGAATGAAAAAGGAACGATGCGTAGGAAACTTTGAAATACCAGAGGAAACCTTAAGTTGAAATTCTTGAAATGAAAGCAATAAGTAACACCAATAACAAATAAGAGCAATTATTAAATATATTTAGAAAAGGAAAATGTGTGAATTTTTGTAATTCTATTTTATATAAACCGATTTCTAAATTATTCCGTCAAAAAAAATATCAAGCTCATCCTCATTGCAAAGCAAATTATTTATGATATTTTATATCTCAATGTCACAATAATAATAAAATAATAAATAAAAATAAGATAATATACTTCGTAAATATTTATCACGATAACTTTGTATATATATATATATATGTTTACCAAAAATAATTCAGCCATTTTTTCATGGTTATCTTTACAAATACATGACGTCATTTTGGTAAACCGTGATTCACAATCCACGAATGTTATCAAAATCTTCTAATAACTCGACTTTTACTTTTGACTTTAATTAGAATTTCAAAATTTGCGATTCGATTGTGTTTTCTGTGAATTAGAATCGTTGGCACGACAATTCCGCGTTAATAATACGGAAGAATACGATTCGCGCCGCGTGGTGGAATCTCGTGAGATCTATACCGAGGCACGTCGACTCTCCGTCAGGCTTTCAAATGCTGCGCTCGATCCTGGTTTATTTCCAGTCACGTCGCTCCTAGGCTTCGTAGCTACGATTTAATTATCGGCGCTTGCATTCTTGAGAAACTTCGTGGCGGAGAACGCCACGTGCATACGTATCGCCGCTATTTAAATCGTAACTGTTGGCACTTGTTTGCAATCATCGCTGTTCAAGAAAAGCATAAGACGGTACGATCACTCGCTCTCCAACATTGTAAACCGGATGCATTGTAAACCGGATTCTCGAGAGTCGCGAACCGCCAACGGGGAAATACGCACGGCAATTAATTACCGCGACGATAATTATATCCCGCGTGGATATAATTACCGGCAGTGCGTGCCGCGCACAGACGCGACGATCGTTTATCTCGGGAATAGTCACGCAAAGGGATTATTTGTCACCGATTTATTTACGTCTAAACGTCTAAATTTCCGCAATTGGGATAAATATTGAGCCTGTCATTGATACGCCTCCGCTATTCCGCTGATCTCAAGACCGTTATGTAAGATACGTTCTGCACGCGGTATGCAAGAGCAGCGAGAGCGTTCGTTTATTTTGTTCTAAACAATGGAAACGTCAATTTCCACGAAGACCGAGAAAGTTCCAATGTCGCTCTGGTCAAAAGGAGGAAGGCGCGGTCGAAAATTTTCGACCGTCACCACATCTGGCGAACAGACACGGCTTTGTACCGCGGTGATGTGATTTCCACTATATTCCGTAGTTGGTGCGTGCTCGAAAGTAGAGAGTTTTGTTGGAATTTCGACGACGAGGCCACGTGCGTAAAACGCGCGACACGTAAACGGGGTCCCGTTTCGGTCTGAATGGAGGGGCCCGACCGTCGGGAGATTCATAACACCGTCGTGGGGTCGGCGTTCCTCTCCCCCGTTGACGGTCCCCCCCCTCCCCGGATTGTTTTCGACGTGATCCCGCGGACGTATATTCCCGGTCCCGGTGGTGGATTGATATTTCGGCAAAATATCGTCGCGGTGCACGGGGCGGAACGACGGGGGTCTCTGTGTGGCACGACGTATGCGTATGAGCGTTATTATGATTGAGCTCAATTGTCCAATTGCCCGGTCATTGAATGCCGAGCCGGGCTGAGCTATTACCGAATCGGCCAGCAGCAACGATACTCTCCCGGCGTTGGCGGGGTGACGAGACGCCATTTTCTCGGACTAAATTCAGAGGCGGGAGGGGTCTCTCGCGCGAGCGCGACGAGTGCGATGAGAGCCACTGCCAATCTTTTGTCTATTAAATGTATTCAACAGCGTAATAGCGACTGATATTACCAATTGGACAATGAAAGAGATGGCAGCAGAGCGCGAATTATGAGGGAAGAGGAGGGGGGGAGGGCAACTCGGGAGGACCGAGAAGGAGATTTCGCCAAGAGATTTCTCGGCCGGTCTTGCCAGTTGATCGAACGTCACTCCGTTTTTCCGCTGGACCCATGCCCACATCCATGCCCCCTCTCACCCTCCTGATCGTCTTCGCTCGTTCGTTCACGCTTACGGATCAAGATCCTCGGAAAAGCGCGCGTCCTCTCTCGCGTCTTGAGACGCGCAATCCGGAAAACCGACGCGGAACTCCCTCGTCCTGCCGGCGATTCATCTCGTACGTGAAACAAGCTTGGCGCGTTCGTTAAGCGACGTTCCCTCTCGATCTCCCTCGAGAGTCGGATGATTCGTTTCGAGATGTAATTATGCAGGTATAGATATGTATGTAGTCGTTTCAGGCCTTGCCGACCCGTCAGGAATCCCGACGTTTCTATCTGCTCTCTGTCTCTCGGTCCCGTGACTCCCTCCCCCCTCCCCTCATCTTTTTCTTTCCCCGCACTCGCCCCATTATGAAAGGACGGCTTCCAGGACGAAGCGGAATCTTAATTAGATTCGTCGAGCCAGTTTTCGTTGGCGAGTCTCTATCCTAGTGGAGGCCCCGCACTTTGTTAACACGATATCTTAACGCGAACGGACGATGCGTTAAAACGTGTAACAGGATTCTCTCCAATCCTGTGCGAGACTCACCTCGCTCGGTCCACCACAGATCATTTTTTATCTCGAATTATCGTACATCGGGTCTCCTGTTGAAAGAAGACGTCCGTCCCCAGCGAGCGTTCGTTTTATTTTCCTCGCAGGAGAGGAAGATTTATAAATAAAATCCACGATCTCAGCCGTCAAACGCACACGGTAGAAAATGGAACAAGGTAATTGGATCGATGATAGCCGTTCGTGAGGCATCGTTAACTTGCCGATGACAAAATGGAAAAAAATATCGCCGTTTCCATTAAGGAATTGTCGTGAAACACGTTTCAATTATGAAACCTCCGAGCACACATTCCAGCAGATATCCGCGAAGAAACGAAGAAGACGTCGTACGTTTAGAAGGGTAGGTGAACGTTCTGTGAAAGAGGTTTTTACATAATAAAGAAAAAAAGAGTCAGCATTTTAGCGTTTCCGTGCGGAGAGATCGCGCCGCTCGTACGAGATGGAATTATCGTGTCTAGAGTTTCTCCTTTTTGTCGAATCATCATCTCGCGTAAGATCGACCGCTACATCGGCGGCATGAAAGAGCTCTCTCTTTCTCTTTCTCTCTTTTTCTCTCTTGTCCTACGAATGAAGACGCTAAAAGCCGAACGCGTGGGACGATCGTAATCCGACACCGCGCGGCACTTGTTCGAAGGAAGAGAGAGATCTTCCTCGATTTTTCTTTATTTCCTCGATCTCCACTTCTAGAGGATAGACTTGTTTCGTTCGCGAGGTGAAATCATAGGTTCCGACATAAATTGGCAGTCGTGATTTCTGTCAACGTTTACGCTTCGAATCGCGCTCTACGTTACTCGATTAATCACGCAAATGATCCATATAACTTGGCATGCGTTTCTGCTAAATCTTCAAGATTGTTTGACTTTACGAACCGCGTGTTTGCTCGCGCTGTCGTATCGCGTCGAGTCATTTTTTTCATGGATTCGTTTATCGAAAAATCGTCGAGTAAATCAAATATTTACCTTTCTAACTCTTGGAAAAGGAGTAAAGTTCTTGTTCGGTTAATAATTCTCCGTATATTCTTTATATCGTGCGATGCGTAAAACAATGAGCAACATATTTATCGTCGCAGAAAAGACTAAGTTAAAAATAAGATGTTCAATTTTCTTCGGTTTTATGGAATCAAAAAAGTGAGTGCTAGATATATGTTGATGATTAAACTTGACTTATGAATTATAGATCGCATGTGTTAAAAAAATGAAAATCGCGATGATCATAGAAATACCATGCGGAAATATCACTGTCAGTGGTATTCCTGCATGGTATTTCTATGATCGATGCCTTGCATCCCAACTATTTCTAGTTCCATATGAGGCGAACGAACAGGCAATAGAAAACGTTCGTTTCACAAGCTAACATAGCACGCCGTAGGTTTACGAAAACATTTCGACAAAACGTCTCGTATTATTTGACCTGATAATTACGCGAGATTGTAAAAAACTCTGAGCGCAAAAATCATGAAAATAATATAGAAATATATAGTTTTGCCGGAATATTTAAAATTTGACTAGATAATAAGTCCGAAAATAATTTTGTTATTATCATCAAAATTATGCGGGACATTTAAACGTGATGATATTACTGCAATAATTTTTAACAACCAATTTGAATATTCTATACAATTATGTTGATGCCCAACAAAATTATTTTTAAATCTGGCCAAATTTTTAGATACTTCGACAAAACTGCTCCTCCCCTCCCCCGAACAGATAGAGTGCTTCTCTTGAATTTCTAATTTGATGCGGATTAATTTCTGTCTGCGTTTGCTGAAATTGTGAGGATCGGCGGGACCAGTCATGTGAAAATATTTTTGGCACGACTGATCGAGAACGACGACGGTAATCCATCTCACCAGCCGACCTCGTCTCGTCTTTCTGGTAACGAGGTAATCGTATCACCAGCATTCCAATGAATCTCATGAACATGAGAAAAGTCGGACGAGGCTGTAAGCATCGAACATTCGCTGCATTATTTTATTCACGCGCGTTCGCCACCGATTCGAGAGAGAATAATCGGACCGGTAGCGATAAATCGGTTTAGAAGCTGAGATCGATTTATCATTACCGGTCCGATTATTCTCTCGAGTCACGTTGGACGTGAGTAAATAAGGCGTGACGCGGCGAACGTTCCCTTCGTGTCCGACAACTCTGGATGGTAATATCACATACGTCTGACGGTTGAATTATGAGAAGCCCGCGATATCTGCGACAAAATGTTATTTACCCTTTATTGGAGCGATTTCATTCCGAGTCGTACACGCGGCGGGGAAGCGGCGGTTATTTATGAAGTTGTCCGGCACTTGGAGAACCGGTAGCCGCGCCTCCAAGTTTGCGCGGAAACTTTGATAGCGATTTACGAGCGGCACGTGCTGCAACGGCAAGATGTACCGAGAGAGATGTTCCTGCCCGTAAAGAGAGAAAGAGAGAGAGAGACAGAGAGAGATAGAGATTGAACCTAAGAAAACCGACGTTAAAAGATCGGGCTGTGTTATTGAAAGATTATACGCGCTCTTCGTGAAGATAGGCGAGTAGGCCGGGGGACGTTGAAGAATGAGCGCGGGATAGAGATCGTTTCTCTAACGCGGCCGCTATCGCTATCGGCGCAACCACGACGAAAGAAAGCACTGCATACGTCAGTTAGACAGTGCGATGTGTCGGGTAATGTAAAAATGCGCACGTTTCAGGTCACGACACGGGTAAATAAACGGCCGCTGACATTGACAAACCAGGGGTTTCCGTCGTCGCGCGCGCGACGTTAATGGTTAATGGCGTCGACGAGGCGAGTTTAATATCGGGATTAAAATGGAATCAATTACTTCGAAATATTTCCAACATTTTGTAAAATAAGTATTGTTTAGGATCAAAGTCTTTTTATTCGCTAACAGAGTTAACTTACCCTCTTTTTAACGTCGTTCGCTACGAGCTTTGTATTTATATCGCGAACAATAACATTTCTGGATGCTGTGCTTTAACGATGACGTGGCAATCGAAATTCTCGCCGATTCGTCGAGGAAAATATCGAAAGAATTACAGACGCGTTGGATTCGTTGGTATTTCTTTTTTTTTTTTTTTAACGGTATTTTTCCTTTACGACGTGACGTACCTGCGTTCTTCGCGCGACTGAATCTGTACAAACATGCCAAAGCTCGTTGTCGTGACCAAAAGCTCGGGATAAGAGAAGACCGAAGGCAGAAAGTGAAGAGAACAACATCGGCAAAAGTGGCGCAAACCTCTTTGCGTTTAAAGCTATTCCTGGCGTTTGGCTCGAGGCAGATGGCCGGTTACTGAGAGGAATCGATTCCTAGTTTAGGCCTCGATCGAAGCGACAAACTGATTCAATATTAAATGAAATTTTTTTAAAGTATCGGAGATTTTGGAAACCAAAATCGACCAACTTTTGAAAAACATCCCGCGTGGATTAATGTCTCGATGCGCGATCTCGTGCACCGATTTCTTCGTACATCGGATCGCAGACGCCGATGCCACGTGCCTCGCATCTGTTGCTGGTCTCCCAAAAAAGAGCGAAGCGGAACGCTCACGGCGACGAGCGACAATATAAACTCGATCGATTTCCTCTGCCGAGGGCTTTTCGCGAGGCACAACGCTTCCTTTTGTACGCGAGGATGAGGGGGCTCGACGCGAGGATGTTTAAAGATTCGCGAAAAAGAAAGCCCTTTACGCGGGCTCGCATCTCGACTGAATTAAAGTCTCTCCCTTTCCTTCCCGACGCGTCTGGAATAACTCGCGAGAGGCAGATCCGAAGAAGAGCCTCGTTGATTACCGTTATGTAGAATGGAGATGAGATCGGCGCGAATGGCGCGATCCGGTCTTGTATTAATAATCAGAAATTTCAGTATCACTCCATTCGGGATTTGACTCGACGATGAAGACGCGCCTCGTGGTACTATTAACGGTCGTAATCACGGGGCGATTTACGGGGGAAGAGTGACGGTAGGGGGGGTCGCAGAGGAGAGAATAGCTCTAAATATAGTGTGCGACGCGTTCCGGGGACGGAGGGGCAGAAAGGCTCCAGATGGAACGTCGGAAGGGACAGTGTCGCGATTCACTTCTGGCCGTCTTCCAAATGGCGATATTCCGAGGTCCGGCCGGTCGGCCTTATGAATGAGCCGCGCAGGAAAATGAGTTTCCTTGATCAAACCGGCGCAAATGTCGGGGGTAGATAGATCCGATGTACCCGAGCCAAGCCCCATGTCGTTTTGCTTTATCCCTCTCTTTCTCTTTCTCTCTCTCTCTCATTAGATGCAAAATCCGTTTCTAACTTCCGCAAATTCTCGCGACGGTGATTATCATAAATCAGCGTTTTCCAAAGTGAGGGTTTCAATCTCTGAGAGAATCGCAGAGAATTCCCAAAATTTCCATTTGTATATTTAACAATTAAATAGTAATAAGATATATTGTTGAGATTTATAATTATTTATTTAATACATTTTATTAGAAATAAAAAATATAAATAAACACACATCTAAATGTAAAACGCAATTCGGAAAATCATTTTTAGATTTATTTCTTTGAGAATTTTCCTCGTGGTATAAACTCTAGATTATTATTCTAAGTTAAATAATTAAATTTTATCTTTTATTTATTAAAGAAGGACAGATACTAACAAACAAATTAAAGTTAATTTAATCCATGACACGAATTACGTTCGCCTGTTTATAGAGAATCATTTTACATCGATGCAAAATTACAATTTATAGAACAAATCATGTATGTCTTTCTCTTCGCGGAAATCGTGCGCGAAGAAAGGCGAAGTAATCACCGTTTCTCTTCACTTTACCGTTAACATCGCATGCAACATAGAGATACAGATTGGTTGTACATTCGCTGTCATGGTATATTCACACGACGTGTGTAACATTTACGTTACAGATGAAATTAATAGCGACATTGTGGCATTCATGAGCGAGAAGCTATATCTGCGTTGCTTAAAAGACGAGGCTGATACGACATGGTATAAGGATGACGAGATGTTCCGTCCGAGATGGAACTCTAGGATACGTGTGAACAAACAAAACTTGAAGATCAGATTCGTCAAAATGGAGGACGCGGGAGTCTACAGTTGTAGATTGACGTCGAACGAGACCATCGAATGGAGGAACGTGACCGTACGCGTCGAGCCTCCGCAGAACGATGGTTTCCAGGAGGAGGGCGAGGACAAGAGCGGCGCGATGAACGGGATGATGAAACCGGAAGATAAGGGCAATACTCTCGAGATGGAAACCAGAAGTGAGTTATCGATTATCCGACAATCTCCATTCTGGAGTCTCAATTAAATGTGGCATTAACTGTCGAATTGAATCTGTACTCGCATACGACTATCGAGTACGACGTGGGTTGTACAATAACGATAATCTCCTTTTCGCAGACTTGCCCGAGACGCGATCGTTGCAGTTGGACAGCGAAAAATTGGACGCGGACGTGGACGACGAGAAGGTGGAGAACGTCACGCAGGGGGAGCGCAACAACACGATGCCGGAAAGCCCGCCTTACTTCAACAAGTCTCAAGAGATGCACCCGTTGGTGGTGAAGCCTGCCGGCAGCGCGTTGCGATTGAGATGCTCGAGCGCGGGGAATCCCACGCCGAACATCACGTGGCTGAAGAACGACGAGGTGCCGAAGCGGGAGCTCGGATCCGTGATCATGACCAAATGGATGTTGAAGATGGAGGATCTCGTTACCAAGGACGTTGGCAATTACACATGCATCGTGTGCAATTATCTTGGCTGCATCAATCATACTTACAAAGTCGATATTGTCGGTGAGTAAAAAACGAGTTACGAGTCTTTATTTATTAGTTTGATCGTCTTTGAATTCGTCCGCGACAATTTCGGATATCGCGTTCGCGATAAATAAATCGCGAATGCTCGTCTCGCACGCGGATTGAAAATGCTAAACAAAAATCGTAGAGCGCTTCCCACACAAGCCGTACATCAACGTAGGCTTTCCGAAGAACGTGACGGCTGAGATTAACGGTACCGCAATCTTCAGATGTCCCATTGTCTCTGATCTCGAACCGTATATACAGTGGCTTAAAGTCGACCAATTTCCCGGTAATCAAGAGGATTCGCCCAATGGAACTCTGCTCCAGGTACAGCTGCCATTTATCGGTGATGGTGATGAAGGATCCTGGGTCCTGGTCCTTTGACTATGTTAATTAATTTTTTTATAGAAAATTCATTTAATCGGTGTTGTGCTAATTGTCAATTGTACACGGTGCAGGGTGGACTGTTATATTCTACCAAATTTTTCTTAGAACATCAAAGTCTTCAAAATATTTGCAGATTGGAGTGAAGAAGAGATTCTACTTTAATTGTAATTAATGTGATTATTTCATCTTACAGTATACGTCGTCTAGAAAATTATCTTCACAATCTTTGGTTATGGGTTATCTTATTTTTCTTTATTCTTTTTCTTTTTTTTTCACTCTAGTTTACCTGATGGAAATCAAAACAACGACATCGACATTCTAAAATGTATAAAAAGTTAAATGTGATTTTTAATAAGATATATAGGAATATATCTTACAATGTTATATTCTATATTCTATTTTATATGTAAATAATAAATTTATTATATATATAAATAATTTTTAAATGTATATATATGTATATAAATTCAAAACTAAAACAAATTATTAGGTTAAAATTCTGTCATATTCCGAGTGTTTGTCATATTCCTTTTTTGTTCTGTGTTGAATAAATTTATTTATTTTACGACTTAGCAAACAGTGGAGTTTGGATCGTCTTCTCTTACTGAATCGTCTTCACTTTCTATATTACAAGCTTTTATATTACGTTACATGCTCTTCTATTTTCTGACCATTTTCACTCTAGCTATATTCAGGATAGCTGAGTTTTTTTGTGTAGTTTTCCTGTTTTGTCTCCTTTATGTGTTAAATAAGTGTTCAATAAATGTTGGTTTAAATGGTGGTTGGGTTTCTTTTTCTCTATAGAGAGAGTAGCGCATCGACCGATCCTCACAAGAGCGCCAAGAAATACCACGGTGCTTATCGGAAAAAACGTTACTTTAACCTGCCAAGTACTGTCTGATGGGCATCGTCACCTCGAATGGTATCATGGTCGTCACACTTCTTTCGACACCGTCAACAAAACCAATCAGAGCTTACGGGTGGAGGTCAAGGTGGGCGCAGCTTGCATGCAAACTCGCAATCTTTTCTTTCGATCGCTTACTCTCAATTTTTTTCGCTTTCGATCGCTTCAAAGCCTTTGAGCCTTTCGCTAATAATGGATTCTGTGCTAACATTTGTCAAGGAAGTAAATTTAAATGTGCGCTGTACATATTTTGTGTAAATAACTTTTGTGCATAATCGAAAGCTATAGCATTGCGAAAGCGTGATTAATAGCGTTTCGTTCATCACAGGCTGGAATGGACACAGAAAATCCGGACGAGCTGAGACTATATAACGTAACGGAAAAAGACGAGGGATGGTACACGTGTATTGCTCAGAACACTTTAGGGGAAACGTTTAGTAGCGCTTATTTAAATGTAGTCGAGTGTAAGTATATCATTCAATTTTGCTTCAAGTTACTTGACATTTTTGTACTTTTTATTCGAACAAAATATTCTTGAGTGAAATGTCAGAATGTATGATCCTGAAAAATTTGTTTAGCGCTCGAGCAAAAAGTACCGCTGGCCGCGAGACCGCAAATCTTGGTGAACGTTCTGGCTGGCATTCTATGCGTGTTCTTCGCCGTGGGTGTCGTCGTGGTGATATACATCTTCCATCGATTGAAACGCGAGAAGATGAAGAAGCTGCTCGCGATAGAGACGGCACGTGCGGCAGTCGTGACGCAATGGAAGAAGAAGGTGGTAGTGGAGAAGCAGAAACTGGCGAACGCGCAGAATGCAATCGAGGAGGAGCTGCTGCTGCCGGTGGTGAAGATCGAGAAACAAAAGTCCACCGTAATCGCCGAGGAGAATAGCAACGACAACGTGTCCGAGTATGAATTGCCGTTGGACAGCACTTGGGAATTGCCGAGGGAATATTTTACGCTTGGAAATACTCTGGGCGAAGGAGCTTTCGGCAAAGTCGTTAGGGCTGAAACGAATACCGGAAAACCAGGACTACCTAGCGTCGTCGCGGTGAAAATGTTGAAAGGTGAGCAAATAAAGACATGTGTAATCATAGAAAAGAAGAGAGAGAGAGAGAGAGAGAGAGAGAGATTTTACATTTTGCTTATGTTCTCGGGTGTCTATGTTTCCAGAGGGTCATACAGATACCGAGATGATGGATCTGGTTTCGGAGATGGAAATGATGAAGATGATCGGAAAGCACGTGAATATCATCAATCTCCTGGGTGCGTGTACTCAGAACGGTCCTCTGTACGTCGTGGTGGAGTTCGCTCCTCACGGCAATCTACGAGACTTCCTCCGAGATCACAGACCCTCTTCGGGATACGAACCGGCCATCGGGCAAGAGCCGAAGGAACGGAAGACCCTCACGCAAAAGGATCTAGTCTCGTTCGCATATCAAGTGGCGCGTGGGATGGAGTACCTGGCCAGCAGGAGGTGTATACACAGGGACCTGGCTGCTAGGAACGTCCTCGTCAGCGACGAGTACGTGCTGAAGATCGCCGACTTCGGTCTCGCCAGAGACATTCATTGCCACGACTACTACAGAAAGACAACGGATGGACGGTTACCGGTGAAGTGGATGGCCCCAGAAGCTCTATTCCATCGGGTTTACACCACTCAGTCTGACGTGTGAGTATTCAGGAAGAACAATTTTTTCATCCAATAGAAAATAATAATTAATTTGATTTTTCTTCTTATTTTTATTACTTTAACATTCTACATTTCTTGTGATCTTTTTCCAGATGGTCGTACGGGATTCTGTTGTGGGAGATCATGACGATGGGCGGTACGCCTTACCCGTCCGTGCCATCGGTCGAGAAATTATTCCAGCTACTTAGAACGGGTCATCGAATGGAGAAGCCGCCCTGCTGCTCGATCGACATGTAAGACATGCCTTTATGCGCAATTTTATTCGACGAACGTGATCTCTATTTTCTGAGAAAATACATTCCTCGATTCGTCGCCTTTGCAGATACATGCTCATGAGGGACTGTTGGAGTTATCAGCCGAACGAGAGACCGACGTTTGTCGAGTTGGTCGAGGATCTCGATAGAATATTAACGATAACAGCGAACGAGGTGAGTGGCAATCTCCATACTTCGATAATTAAGTAGTAAGAATATTTTTATAATAGCAGTCTTGATTCTACAATTTTCTTCGATATTAGGAATATCTGGATCTCGGACTGCCCCAATTGGACACGCCTCCGTCCAGCCAGGAATCCAGCGACACGGAAAACGAGGAAGGCGAAGAAAGTTTTCCACATCTCTTATAAACCGTGTATTCATCACGAAGAATGTCACTTAGACTTCGCACAGACGAGATACTTGAAACGATTACAGTCGACCGGATAAAGCATCCTACAGAAGCGAGTCGACGAGAGATAAAGAGACGAAGAAATTCGAGCGTGAGAGATTCGCAGGAGAATAATCGACTGAGACACAAGCGAAGAAACACGCCAAATAAAATAAATCAGTATTGACCCGTGTGTAGCGCGTGAAATTAAGAATGAATCGCGAAAGGGTAACATATGTCGACAGCAAGTATTTGCGTATTGACAAAACTGGATATCCTAAGTTGCTATCCTAAAGTTGCTATTATTTCTCATCAATTGACATATGTTAGGTCTAGGATGAACGTGAAAGAAACGAAATTTAAGGCTATGTGAAAATTGACACTGTCTCTTGACGCGCTAACGCAGAGAAAGCGGATTTGTTGCTTATACAAATCTTATATATATTCATAAGTGTAATAATTGTGCCATGAATCAGTGCCTTGTAAAGGTATCGACAATAAATGAAGAAATAAGTTCACGGGGATTCATTGAATCGCATAGATCAGTATTGGATTTAAATGCAACTTCGAGCCCGATTTTTATCTCGAATTCGATTCCCATCCTCATCCTCATTTTGACTCATAAGAGGTTGATTAAACGGATAAAAGATTTTAGACTGAGGTTGTAATATAAAATTATAAATAATTTCAGGAATAATAATCCAATACGTATTTGTAATTTAATTATAAGTGACCAGAAGAAATTTCTACACATATATAATTATGTATTATATAAAATAATATTATATAAAATTATATAATATTATATAATATTATATAATATTATATAAAATAATAACTACAAAATATTATATAAATATAATTATGAAATAATTGGTGAAATTTGTTTTTGAGGCAAAGCCTCGCATGTTTTATAATTATATTTTATAGTTATATCTTAATTAGATTCATCAAGAGATGAGCGATAAGAAAAAAGAACACACACATGAAAATCGAACTGAAAATTACATCTAAATCCGATCACTGGCATAGATCATACGGATATCAAACGAGAACATGATATTGTGTTTTGTAACTAGTCAACTGTGAAAATTGTACGTTTTTCTGTATTATAGTAGCTAGTAGATTTTTAACATTTTTACGTTAGCATTAGGATCGACGGTGACCATAGATTTTGTACGCGAGTTCTGGAGCAATTCTTTGTAAAAAGAAAGAAGCTCAGACACACATAAGAGATTGAATGTGAAAAGAGACGAACGTCTCAAGAGGAAAGTCCAAAGTATCGCTGTAAGTTTTATAGTTATATCAATATCGATATAATAAGTGTATAAATAGCAGAAAGGTGCTTAGAAGTAGATAATTTATTTCTCTAAATAATATCAGTGTCTCTCAAGTATGTACACGTTTTCGGGATCTTTTTTTTTTTTACATAATTTTAAGATAGCCGTTTAAGGTAGCCGTTCGAGCGGCCCTTTTGTAAAAAGTGATTTGTAAAAGTTAATGGATGTATGTGCACTAGAAGATAATTTTTTAATCCGCGATCTGTACATATAGGCGTTTATTTAAAATTTTCCTTATTATTCAGCAGCTGAAGATAGAATAAAAATGATAGATAAATTAGAGTTTACCTAAAGTACACATAGATTTAATGTATAGATTGTAAAGGAATCATCATCACAATGTGAGTTTCGTCTTCAATAAATCAGCCGATCTGTATTAAAATAACTCTCCGCATCGTTGCTTTTTTTCGAATTTCCTCGTCAAAGAAATATTCATATAACACAAAAGAGTCCATCAATATTGTAAATGCATGGAAATGTTGCAAAGATGTTGCTATATTTAAAGCTACAAAGAGTTTTCGAGATTTCCAGAAATTTTTTACAAAATTAAAAAAATGAATCTTTATCTGTTTACGAATTTAATAAAAAATTTAAAAAAAATTTTTTAAATCAAAACTTTCTTATAATATTTATTTATGAGTGAATTGCCTTTAAAAGTAAAAATAATCAAATGTAAATTTTTTGTATATAAAAATATTCTGTATTTCGTGATATCGTAATTTAGATGCAATCTAAATTTACGCGATAATAATTCATGCAAATTTGTCATAGAACAGGCTCTTGTCTACTTAATCGATTGAATCAAAGCATCACGTAATACAATGGTTGTCAAAATCTCTCAACTTACACTGTGTTACACTGTGTTGCACTGTAAAAAAAAAATTTCCACGTGTATAAAGTGCCACGTGTACGGAAAAAATTAAAAAAAATTAATAAATTTGAAATTATAAATATAAAAATAATTAAAATGTTTATCAGAAGAATTCAATTATTAATCGATTATAAATATGATAAATTTCGAATAAGTTTCTACTCATTTTTATATTAGCCAAGATCTCTCGTCCCCCTCCCCCCCCCCAGCATCACTCTCCCTATCTTTCGTATCATTTGAGAATCATTGACGTAACATTTTTCATTCTCGAACGTAACCGCGTGTATCACTCGCGAGTTCATATCACCGTCGTGAATCCATGGATGGCGTCACTATCAGCCCGTTTTGTTGTCGTACAAGTAATAACGTTTAGCTGTTGAGTTGTTTTTAAAGCAGATTTTTAGTGAAACTTCTTTTCCACAAGTCACTCGTCGTAGATCCGTAGATCCAGGCACGAGAATGTTCTGGATCTCACATCTTCTTCCTATAAAGCTCCGTTCTGAGTAGAAGAAGCCAGAAACATCGCGTTCACGCACTCGGAATTGAGGTTAGAATCCGATAACCCACTTTCCGCGATTGCAGTTACCTGGCGACCGTTCTTACGCGTTCGTAACGGCAAATTGAGCCTGTTCGCATTTTTATCTCGCATCTTTTGCCTGCCTACAAGCGGTTACTCGCTCTCACAATCCTCATTGTGATAATTTTTAAGATCACTTAACATTAACAATTCTAATTAATGCAACTGTTGCAACGTGTCATTACAGATAACATCTTCTTGTTAAATGGTGATTATCGATGCCATGGAGAGAAGGATAAAACTGAAAACGCTCAACAGTCACATAACATGCAAGATATGTCGTGGGTATTTAATTGACGCTACTACTGTTACGGAATGCTTGCATACATTCTGTAAGAGTTGTTTAGTAAAACATCTAGAGGAGAAGCACACTTGTCCGACATGCCAAATTGTTATACATCAATCACATCCACTTCAGTATATCAGCTTTGACAGAACTATGCAGGATATTGTCTACAAATTAGTCCCTGACCTCCAAGAAAGTAAGAATAGTTTTTAATTTAATTTTTGATCCCTCTCTCTTTGTAAAGCTTCATGTTCACAATACTGAAAATCAATCCGAGATATTGGACAAAGAAAAAATTGACTAATTGCATTGGCTATTGTGGCCAGTTGCAACTAGTCTATTTTCTTCATTCATCTTGGATTTTTAATTTATACAAGGTTTAAAGATTAGTCTCTTCATGCATTAACAAACCTGGCCTATATCAGCATAATGTCAAATTATAAAAGAAGTGCTAACAAAAATATCTTCCATTTCAGATGAAATCAAAAGGGAAAGAGAATTTTACAGAGCCAGAGGTTTGCCTTGTCCTAAAGACATTTTACCCAATGCTGGGGAAATCGAGGAAGAGAAGACTAACGCGGATGCACACGCAGAATCAGATTATCATCGTACCGATGAACAGGTAATTATAACATGAAGTATACGATATGAAATTTACAGAAACAGAATATCTAATCAAGATTAAAACTAATCAAATTTGCAGGTTAATGTATGTTTAGAGTGTATGAACGCTAGTTTGAAAACTTTAAAGAGGAGATTTATCAGGTGTTCCGCTCAGGCTACGATAACACATATGAAAAAGTTTATTGCCAAGAAGGTTTTGAGTGGCATGGAAAAATATAGAGATGTAAGTATAATGATATGACATAAAAGAATATTACTATTAACTTATTTACGTTTTTCCACAGATTGATATTTTGTGCAATAACGAATTATTAGGTAAGGATCACACATTGAAGTTCGTTTATGTGACGAGATGGAGGTTCCGGGACCCACCTTTGAGGTTACAATACAGATCGCATATAGATATGCAAGACTAACCTTTTTCTACATACGAAATGTACAAAAATCACAAAAGGATCTGTTCCTTTATTTGTACATTTTTATAGTTATATTTTTATCTTAATTATTGTGGTACTTATTTCTATGTTCTGTCCGTGAAGCATTTGTGTAGAATTTAAAAAAAAATAGTTTTGATTCCACGAAAACAGGATGTTACATCGATTTCAAGATGTATTAATCTATACTAATAACAATAAGATCCTATTACGTAGTAGTAATAGGATCTTACTGTTGAATCAAAGATCGTTCTTGTGATGTATTCTTCGACTGTGTTTGGAGAGTGTCAGTCTATCCTTGATTCGCTAATGAATGATAAAGATAGAATAACACGATAGCGCTAATAATGTGCTTCCCGAACGCAGCTTTTACATGAATTATAAGATATTATCTTTATATAATTAAAGATGAATTTACAAATCAAGAATTATCTTTTTTTCAGTAGCGCATTACATTTGTTAATATTTAATTGTGGCTCATATAGGAAAACATAACGTCTTAAAGAAAAGCGAAATCTGTATTTTGATCTACGGTGTGTAACACGTCTTTCTTTGTAGATATTCAATCATCACCGCACTATACAGATTTTGTATCTGCGCGTTAAATTTCGGCGGGTCATCTTCTCTCATGACACGCAGAACATTGACAAATGAGTGTGATTATTTTTTACGATGCGAAACAAAACCACAGATCCTCATTTTGTGAAATTGTACATTTTTTTCACACAAGCACGTACCCTACCTTTGTACATAGAATATTTTTGACAGAATGCGAACAACGTTGCGCTTAGGGAGATACAAGCTTTGTATTAGATAAATGAAAGAAATCGGGTCTGGATAATCTCGGGCCTTTTTAACTTTGTATGTTTATGCGTCGTATATATTCTAATGGCGTTGCATGTTTCTCTCGACGTCGGCTCACGATTGAAGAAAAAAGATAGTATAGTATTGTTATAGTAAAATATTTTCAGGAGATTCGCCATGTTGGGCCAAGGCCGTGTCGAGCGAGACGCGTAACGCGTATATCGCTTGTAGTAAATGATCCCGTTTCATCCGACGATCGCTAAGCGGTAACGGAAAGGTGTGATTGTACATAATTAGAAAAATCGAACACGACTTTTTGCAAAGTAGCGATACCGCAAGAAGAGCTAGAGCTTGTACGATGTACACTGTATATGCGCATCTTCATAAATTATTGAATAAATATGTTTTGTACAGTACATGTTTTATACATCGTCGATATTGCGCATTACTTGTAAACCGGGATTCGCGGGAACTGAATATTAAAAGGATACAATGGTCCGTGTGGACCATTTATATCTCACTTTTAAAAAAATGTACATTTATCTTACGTTATTACATGCATTAAAATTTCAATAGAATTTTATTTTATCTCTGTCATTATCTTATCTTACTCACCGAATGTTAAACAAGGATGAAATGGTACGTATAAGGATATTCGGATGATGTTTTCGAGCTTTATTAGGTAAAGGTGAGATATGCGAACCATGTTGTGACGATGCGTTGTGAGTTCGCGCTGCTTTTCAACAACAAACCACGCGCAAGCGCGGTTCTCTCGTTCGCCCGGCTCGTAGTAGATTCGTTCTCGGGAAAGAGCGGGGCGATCGAATGAGGCGCACAAATCGGCTGGACGCCATCGGGCGACTCGAGTCGGCCTCAGTTGAATGAAAGATATTGCGGTGGTGGGAACGCGCTTGGGAACGCGATTCGCTCCAAAGCATCTCACGCACGTGAAAGCCCTTCTACTGCCTAAAAGCCCTTTCTCCTAACGGCGAGTTTGGTACGCAGCTCGCGCTGCGCGTCCCGGAGAATGAGAAAGTGAGTTGAATCGATATTCTTCTGTGGTGCGCGCTTTGTTCGAGCGCAATTTTTTGCGTGCACGATATTTGCTGCGGCTCAATGCTGAAGGCGTAAAAACGGCAGCGTCGAGCCATCGTCACGCGCACAGATGGACGTAATTGGCCATAAGTGAAACCAGAAGTGGCCAGAAGTGGAAGCCAGAACTCGATCGAGGATCCAGGAAGATCGCGCAGCGAGACCGCGTGCGAGCACCGGTGCGTCGATCACAAGTTAGATATTATTTATTTATTTATTCTACTAATATAAATATGCGAATGGAACAGAAATGTATTGCAAATCCGATTATTGCAATGTATAGGAAGAAATAGGATAAAGACGAGCGTCGTGCGAGACGTCGTTGGGATAAGTTAATTATAACGCGTAGATAAGGAAAGGAATGTGACGATTCCGCGTCTCGACGTTCTCTTCCCCCGATGATTGCTCCGATTACTCCGATTGCGAGATCCCCATCGTCGCTTATCATCGCGACGATGACCAGCAAACGCTGATTCGAGTTCCGCGGCTTTTTCCTCGCGACTCAGCCTCGTCACTCCGAGATGCGTTTGCCGGACCGTGTAATAGAGCTTCATCCAACTGGCGCGGCCCAGTTTTTGCTCACTCGATCGCATTATTAGAACACATGAGAAAAGTGTAACAGTCCGCGTGTAACACACGCGCGTGTGTATGTGAAAATCGACGCGTCACAGAGAAAATACGCTGGCGTGCGTATTTAATCGCGTTGTAAGTAGCCCGAAACCCATGTATGTTGCAGCTATACAGCTCTTTATTATACTCGGGCTTTCACCGGCGTTTCAACGCGTCACGTGTCGTCTGGAATGTAAGAGGCATCTTCGATTGCAGCTATGACTATTTCCCAATTCTCTTTGTTATTAACTCATTTTCTTATCTCCGCGTAGATTTTCTCGTGTCGCAACACGCCACAGGCGGGATTCATTTATTCGTCAAAGAACTGGTCAAAGAACCAGTGAGTGAACAACTTTGCATGCGGTGCCACGGCACTTAGTGCGCAGAGTCCTTGGCGCTCCGGTATGCGCAAATGTAATTATCCTGTGACGGAGAAGCTCACTTATTCCGAGCTATAAAAATTCGGTCGAGTGCACGAACCGGTTTTCTCTCGCTCCTCTCGAAGCGTCCGTTATCTCGGCCGTCCGTAAGTCTGCTTCGTTCTTACCTGAGCTTCGAAACATAAACCTCGTCGGCCTTTCGTATACTCCGTCCGTACAAAGACAGATAACATTACGAAGCAAAACAGATTGTTTGGCGCGTGACGAGTCTTTCGTCGCGCGCGAGCTATTTTCGATCCCGCGCCAGAGTAACCGTTTCTATTTTCGTCGTCGCGCGATTTTACACGCCAAAATCCTTTTTCCCCGGACGTTCGCGAGAGACCGTCGCTTTTTCCGCCGCGCGCAGCGACTCGAGAGAGAAATGAATTTACAAGAGAAATGAAATTTACCGAAAAAGCACGTCGTGCCGCGGCACGTCATCGAGCGACGTTATGTCATCGTGATGAGATCGGCTGTTCATAACAATAGCGAGCTTTGCGCGACAGGTTTTTTTTTTTTTGGTAAAAAAAAAAGGATCGCGAGTTTTGCGTAAGACGAGCGCGGATGTAAATTAAGCTAATGAAGGCTTGAGCTTCGACGAAATAACGCGGCATAACAGAGGATGTCGCAAGCACATTCCTTCCTCATTACGCGAGGATCTCTAACTTGGTTAAACTGTTTTTTTAATAATACAAAATACGTTGGCTTTACCAGTGTTCTTTGAAATTCAAAATTTCATAAAATCTCAAAATATCCAAAAGAGGGTGGAGACTAATAAGATAGGCTAGGGGTTATCAAGATAGAATGGGAACAGTTGATTATCTTCTTCCGGTTATGTGTATCATAGCAGAGCTGTAATCGAGCTTTGTGAATCATTAGTGTTATTTTTCGTTATTTATATTCTAATACCGAATGTTTATCCTGCGACCGCAGGGTTCGCGGTAACGTAGCATCCAACTGATGATTCATTTGCTCGATGACTTTCCGACCGACACCTTTGTTGTTGCATGAATTAAAAACAGTGCGGCCCACGATGAGACGCGACAGATTAGCGTACGATGAAGGTAGCGCGGGAGAACAATGCTGGAAACCGGAGACAAAGTGTCCTGCATCCGAGGCATCGCGAGCGTTTCATTTACTCGACTTCGGAGCTATCGGGATAGCCTCCTCCGTGACAGTCTGAATCGCACGGAACGAAGTATGGAATCGTGAAAGAACGGAACGTTGCTACGGTACGTTGCCACAAAGTGACGCTACGTCATTGAGAAGGGAAAGAGAGACGGAGGGATGGGGAGGCAGAGGGAGCTAGAGAGAGAAATGAAGGCCGTGAGAGCACGGGGGGAACGGAGGCTGCGTGGAGAACGGAGTTATTCTACCCGCATGTTGTGAGTTACAAAGTGCGCCGGATGAATGCAGGCGGAGCCCCTCCGATACTCGCGAGTATACGGCGGACGTGAATGACGCGACATAAATATCTGCTGCGTTTGATATCTCGATAGGACTCGATAAAAAAGATGCGGATAGCGTTATCGCTTGCCAAAGTGTTTACTTGAAAATTAACGCAGTCGACTGAAAATGAAATGTTTTTTTTTTTTTTTCTTGGAATTTGAGCCACGCGACTGACGCGACGCCATATTGGTATAAGTCACAAATTTATAATATATCCAATATAATGTAATTCCATAAATTCCATAAAATATCTGTATAGAAAGTTATTATTGGAAATTAGGAAAAGAAGCAAAATGTGTAAATCATTCTTTCGCTTTGTTTTCGCGACGCTCCGATTGCGGTTCACGATGATTCACCGGTTCACCGGAATCAGAAAATGTCTTTAGCGTTTAATTACCATAATAATGGCGATCCTTGCCCCGATGGGAAATTTACGCGGTCGGTCTTCGTCGCTCGCGAAATGCGTCGGCGACTTTTCTGTCGGCGACCCGAATTTCCGCGCGACGCGACGCGACGCGAATAGGATTTCCGGTGATCCCGACCCGTTCGAAACTATTTAAACGTGTCCACACATGGCACACATGGTTTAAACAATGCGAGAGTAATTAGGTGCCCACGCGTGTCATACGGTGACTGGATTTTCCGGGAATGACAACGCGATACGAGCCGTCATCGTGCCGGCTCTCCCGCCAAGGCCATTTTCACGTAAAACGAGGAGTAATTGCTGTTCCGTGTATGCCGACGTCGAAACGACGTCGACGGCAAAGTGTCAATTTTCGCTGGAACGCTTTCCGCATAATCTACTTTATCATCGAGATCGTTCTTGTACTCTCGCCTCTTTTCATTGTCTGCGCGCTTAGCGCTGAACACTTATTTATCTAAATGAGAATCACGTTCAACGTCTAGAGTTTCGCTTCCAAAGTTCATCGTGGACGATTACATAATTTAAAGTACTTCCATCTATTATTGTAAGCATAATTCGAACTGTTTTTTTTCTTCTTGTGAAGTTTGTGTGAAGCCTACTGTTGTTTTGTGTGCGCGCGCGCTTTGTTTAACGACGGTATAAATTTTTTTCTTCAAATGACGTTTCTCGCAGCCGATCTCGGGACGGGATTAAGTCGAACACGTAATATGAATTCTATGTATTTGATCGCTCGACTCTCGAACGAAGAGCGAAGTTCGCCGTTACTACTAGTAAAGGGTTTGTGGCGGTTCGATAATCGCGAAAACAGGATTACAAGCAAACCGAATAACAATCCGAATCAGCGAGCGAACTTTCGTGCCAATAACGCGTTTACCTCCGATACGGTAACTAGTCGAGATAACTGTTGGAAATCGCTGTTCGAGCATTTGACTTGAATAGTTGATTTCACGATTTCACGACTGATTCTCGGGTTACGTGACGCGAAAGGATTGCTTCGAATGAAACGGGTCATTCATAATTGATCATCGACGTACGACGATTTCATGCGTCTATTTGCGTTCTCGATTAGTCCGATAAACATGACACGCATGTTAGCTGTGCTATTCTCCATTGACGCTTTTACCACTATAAGCAGTGTATGTAGAAGCAGGTCTTTCGGAAAGTAGGTCTTTGGAAAATTATATCCTTTCTCGCGGGGGACTCCGCCTTGGCATGCAGCAGGGACGAGTACATATTATTACCTGCGACTTTTTTCTTTCATATTTAGAGATTCGCATCTGTTACGTTAGATGCGTGACTTTCTCTGTTGCGGTACTCCATTATTACGTAAGAAAGAATCGTGAAGTTTATTCAACCGCGAAGGGCTGCAACGCATCGTCTAATGCATAGCCCGAAAGAAACTCCTCCTTCGTTCGAAGCCGCGTTTCGAATTTAGTAAAAATTCGCATTCGTCTGTTCTTCCGGCGTTAAACCCTTCAGAAAAGAATTTTTTTTAATTAAAAGAGGTAATTCCATTTTTTGTTTTCTATTTTCCTTTCGATTTGAGTTATATAATAATAAAACAAGAAAAAAAGAGAACAAATATCATTTGTTTCCCCTTCATCAACAATATTAGAATCGAAAAGAAGAAACTAAATGCACGCAGTATGTATATCGGAAGAAAAATAAAAAAAAAATAAAGATGTTATATTTTCGTTTTACAGTGTATTTATATCATTGTAACTCGACACGAATCAATGATAAATATTTCCTCGCTGTCAACCTCTTACTACCTTCGATAGTATTAAATGTTATCTCATGATTAATTCAAACTCAAACAAGATGTAATGTGATATCGATGATAAAAATGAGAATACACATGTGTATAATTATCAAAATGCAGCCTATAGCAAACGCAAAGACTTTGGTTACACCAGTCGCATTATTATTATGTCAAACGCGTTTCTTGGGAAAGGCTCGTGTATGACGTTAATTGTTAGCGCGTAATTAGGGAGGAATTATTAATGAGTGATCCTCTAAATAACTCCGGAAGTGAAAAGCTCACGCGTACTTCGGCGGTTTTCCGTTTGCGATTTTGCCATGCTAAGATCGTAACGGGACGAGTCATTGCGCAACTTTCGCATTTTCGCGTTATTAACGTAACGATAGAAAGCGCAGTCAAACTCGCGTTTTCGCGAGTGTGAACCGTCCTCCCAAACGACGAAAACGTGTCCACCTCTTACGTGACTCTTTTCCGATCTAGATTTATTTAGCAAAATGCACGGGGGGGGGGAAGGAGGAAAGGAGGAGGGGACGATCCGTGGTCCTCTCCGTTTAAACTTAGATCCGCGTTATTTCTCTTTACGTGCGATAACGTGCGCGCGAGCGGCGAAATTGAACGGCAATTTAAATAGAACGCACGCGCGTTTGCGTGCGTAGCTTAATTTATCTAATCTGCAACCGTGTGTATCGGCGACACTGTGCGCATCCTCATTAACTCAGCCCGAGATCCCGAGAGCGCGCGATTCCGAGCGGTCGCACTTTCCGACTTACTTTACGTATTACCGTCATATTTATACGCGTAACAAGGATCCGTGTCAGGCGGCCAGCCTGTACGGTTAGCGTGTTAATTGCACCGTGCGAACGCGCACGTTCCTTTTCTGCCCGTGCTCATTGATAAACTACCTTCGGGCCTTCGCGCGCCAATCGTGCCAATCGCGCCAAACGAGATAACGACGGCATTATCAATCGTATAAACGTTTAGGACGTACAATTAGATAACGGAGCAAAGAGAAACCGATCCCTCGCGGTTCACCGACCGATTGTCAATATTATTCCGCGCGAGATATCCGAATCTACCTAACGCGGCGGCGAATCGTCCACTTCCGGTGGAGCAAATCAGTGGAAAAAAAAAAAGTCGAAGCGGCCCTCGTCGCAGCAGGAAGTTGATATTGATATTCGCGTCTGGAACGATAGAAAATATCTATAGTTACTCGAAAAAAATATTCTAATGATATACAATGCTTCTCGCAACTATTATTACAATGCACTCGCAGAAACAAAAGCAATTTTCACTTTCTCCGAAATTGCTCTTGCGAGCGAATAATTCTGCGAATAATCGAGCAAGTGTTTCTTACATACGTAATCTCATACGTGCACCCTTATCGTTATCCGTTTGAATTTCAATCTGACTATAACGTGACGTTTCGTCGAATCATCCAACATTTTTTTTTCAGTACTCCTCGACGATCCATTGTCCGTGCAATCGGGATCCCGACGGAGGATGATGCATATCCCGCGGACGAAGAGAGTATTCGACGTATCGTTTTATCATGAATCCGCCCCACATCCTGTGACTCCTCGCCCGCACACATGTTCGCACTTACACAAAGTTCCACAAAGTCCGTGAACTCCTTTCCTACGTAAACGAATTAATTCCCCTCTCGGGGTCGCGCGAAGCTGAAAGGGTCGCTCCCCCTTCGGTACGAACGAATACGCCGACTAGAATTCGGTCGCACGAAAACGGTACAATCGGATTCTCGGGTTCCTTTTTCTCCTGGATTCTGGTAATGCTTTTCTCGGCTTCTCAATCTTTCTGCACGGAAAGAACAATTTTTACGGAAACATCTAAAAAAATTTGCTCGAATACAAATTTGAGAATCATTTTGTATCATCATACGGAAAAGAATGATGAGTGTCATTGGAAATAATCTTATTGATTCAATGGTAATATTAATGAAAGAGAGATATACATATTCACTTATTTCATTAATACTGTTATTCAATCGACAAGGTTATTTTTAATTTGATGCTGTTGACTCATCTCTTTCTCTGTATATGTCGCTTAAGTATGCTAACAATATTGCAAAAATTTTCAATATTCCAGCAATCAATTTGAATCTTCTGTATAATTATTTTGATGACAATAAAATATTCTTTTCAGATATGGCGAAATTTTTATACGCTTCCATAAAATTATTTTTTCACTATTTTTTCATGTATAAACGAGTCTTTATATCGATCCTGAACGTTCCCTGTGATAAACGATTCTGTTTTATATATAAAGCGACAGGTTATCGATTTTCTCTTATAATGATGAAAATTCGCATTGTGTAAGAAAAACATTTCTTCTTCGGAAACAGATACGAGACAAATAGTAGGCGTAAATAAAAACGTCGATGCGGGAATTGTCTTTCACGTCATCGTGCACCGTTATTTTAGACTCGTGCGATCGCTCGTGTCTAACAACACCGTCCGCTGTTACACGATTCGCACCATTAGAGGTTTCGCGAATTCACGCACGTGAAT